CCCCCCCCCCCCCCCCCCCCGATTTCACTTGCTGCTGCTGCGAAGCTGTCAGAAGTCGCGAAGATGGGGATGCCGGCCGTTGAGCTCAAAACCGTCAGCTTTCTTGCATCTGGTCATGCTCAGCATTCGACTTCCTTTGATCCACACCCCTGAACCCCATAACTAACCAACCTAAGCACTACCTATAGTCTCCATTNNCCATTGTAGTTCCTTTTGGGGGTTAACTTCTAGGATCCCAGCGATAAAGTCGGTTATATAATTAGACCGAAGAACGGAACTACAATGGAGACTATAGCTCACACTGGTCATTGTAGCCGGTTTACTGGCAGTGCCATTGTCAACTGTCTTTGCCCGCATGTTTCCAAACGTCCGGGACGTTTGGCTGGGGCTGCTGAATCTCACTGTCTGTGCTGTGCCGGCAGCCTCTGTCACCAGTGCCTTTTTCTTGTTGTCATTCGTCGCAGCTGATGCATGGCCTGCAACCATCGTGTTCATCGTAACGCTGCTCCTGGGATCATGCTCCCGGCAGCGTACTTTGACGAATCAGCAAAAGGCAGGTGTGACTGAAGAGCTTGACGCCATGTCTGACGGGACCTCTACGAGGAATACCCTCAGCTTAGACAAGAGTCTTTAGCGGCATCGGAAGTCGACCATGGGTGCATCCCGCGCGTGCCCTCCGATGTGTCGATTTACTCCGACATTTTACGGATCTGAGGCCGTCCCCCCCAGATTTCACTTGCTGCCGTGAAGCTGTCAGCAGTCACGAAGATGGGGATGCCCGCCGTTGTGAGCTCAAAACCGCCAGCTTGCTTGCATCTGGTCATGCTCAGCGTTTGACTTCGTTTATCCACACCCCTGAACCCCATAACCAACCAACCTAAACACTACCTATAGTCTCCATTGTAGTTCCTTTTGGGGGTTACCTTATAGGATCCCAACGATAAAGTCGGGGAAATAATTAAAACGAAGAAAGGAACTACAAGAGGAGACTATACCCTAAGGGTCCATGTATCCATATGAGTAGACTTTGACCCTAAAGTCTTTAAGGCCCAAGTATATCCATTTGGGTACATGGACCCCTAGGGATCGGTACATCTTCATCTCATCCTCGGATTCCACCAGGCCCGTCATGAAGATGCCCTGACGATCCTTCGAGAGGTCCAGGACCTGGTGAAGGACGTGTGGTCTCTGATTTCGGGGAGTGCCGCAACCCTGAAACCCGAAACCCTAAACTGCCCTAAACCCAAAACCCTGAACCCAAATCCCTAAACCCTAAACGTTTCGGTGTTGAAGGGTTCAGATCCGAGGGTTTTGCTGGTGAAGTTTGGGCTTTGGGGTTTGCTGGTGTAGGGCCTGTTCTTTGTGGCGTCCCTTGTGACTCGGCTGATGTCGTACCTGCGTAACACATGGAGTTCCAGATGCTCTCATCCGCGAAAATCCAACATACCATCAACGTAGTCCCAAAACCACACATACTGCACTTACTTTTGCCACCATCTTCACTATCCTTGACGGCCATAGCCCCAGTCACAAACACGACCCGCAGCAAACTTAGTCACAGAATTAAGCTTGAGGATGAGGAGGGTGGAAGTCAAGACCTGCACGCAGCGATCATGGTGATGAGACAACCTCGTTTATCTTACCAATTATGCCCGAGATCGTCAGCCCAACTCGACGACCTGTCACCTGCGACGGTTTAGGAGGGTGGTCCCAAGACTCCCTCCAAGAACGTAGTAGCTCTGAAACATCCTAAGATAGCTTAAGAGTTGATCTTTCCAAGTACATACGCATATACACATATTCATGCATGCATGCATACATATTTACATACACATCCTACCTACACATGCACATCTATGAGTGTATGTATGTGTGCATGCACTTCCATGTATGTGTATGTATCCATCTGTGCATAATCGCTTCCCCCTAATATTAAACGCCCCAGCCTCCCTTAAACTAAAACTGAAATCCGGCGGTTTGGTTTTAATATTAGGGGGGTTTCCGGCGCATACGGGTATGACTGGGATCAATCAGACAATCAGACACAGCGACCGATTCCTACGCAGCTGTTCCGGCTGCAGAGCAGAGCCAGCCCCGAATAACAACCCCCCCAAAGATTAAAACTCGAAGCCCTGGCTTCCTAATCTCTTTAGCCAAACCTCTTCATTAACCCTGAAGCCCTAAACCTTAAGCCCTTAACCCCTAAGCTCTAAAGTCTTAAACCCTAAACCTTAAACCTTAGAGCCTTAATTAAGCCCTAATTCAACACCTGAGCCCCAAAGCCTGCAGCCCTAAGCTTTAAACCCTAAAGCCTTAAACCCTAAAGTCGTAAGCCCTCAGCCCTTAACCGCTAAAGCCCTGGTCCTTTTGGTTTAATACTACTGTAATCTTGGCTCTATTAAAACTCATGCAATCCTAGGCCCCCCTACATGTTTTTAATTAACTCTCAATTGCGGGCCCGAAACCGCAAAATCCCGGGGCCGGGAAGGTTTTAATAGAAGGGAAGGGGGGTAGTAAACGTTGGAAGCGATTATATATGTAATGCGTGTACGTCTGTATAAAAGTATGCATGCATGTATGGATATGTGGATGTATGTACTGTATGTATATATTTACATGAGTCTCACATGTGTATGTATTATGTATGTATGTATGTATGTATGTACATAAGTACATAATTATGTATGTAATTATCTATGTATGTCTGTTTGTAGTACACGCGGGTATGTATATGTGTACGTATGTACATGTATGTTTACTTTGTAGATGTGCATGTGTGCGTGTGTCGATGTATGTGTGACATGTGTATAGATGTATATGTGTATGCATATGCATGTATGTATGCATGCATGTATGTATGTGTATGTACGGACGTGGGCATGTGTTTGCATACACCAGTTACGTATGCATACGTACACATGCACGTGTATGTGTGTGTTTGCATTTATGCGTGCATGTGCATCGTCGTTTATATCTCTGTGTTTGTTTGTCTATTTTGTTTGTTCGTTTGCATGGCTGTGTTTTGTTCACTTATTCGTACCTTCTCTATCATATACATACATACACACATACATACATACATACATACATACACACCGGTGCTGAGGTCGTGCGTTCACCTGGGAATCGAAAGCGGCACGTGCCTTGACGATGTGACCCAAAAGCGACATTCTGTTCCTAAGGACCGTTTTCAAGCGTCGATAGCACCCATACTTTGCCCTGCACTGATAGTTCATGACCCCAAAACACTCTCAGGCCTGACCTGAGAAAAAACTTCCCAGCTTCCAGCTGCGATGCAGCCATCGCCCCCTGCGCCCAAAACCCCAAACGAGGCCGTCTGGAACCCTCGTTGTGTGATCCTTTCGGCACTCTAGAGCAGTGAACCGATTCCTACCAGCTTGTTGCAGGACAGGCCCGAGGAGAGCACGGGCGATGCATGGGCAGGGCGGCAGGGGCTCTGACACGGATTTAGTTTAGGGTTTAGGAATATCCTGAACCCGAAACCCCAATAAAAATGCCTCGAGGGTTCTGAGAGGTTACTGTGAGGGTTGTTCTAAGGTCTCCTTCCGGTGTCTATTTATAAAGGTTACTATACGGTACGCATATTGAAGCTTTATAATATAGGGTTGGACGCCCCAACAATTAGCAATAGCATGCCTACGTTCTCAAGTTTTTACCATATGTGGCAGTCTCTGTGTGGGTGTTTGTGTATGTATATATATACACACATATATATATATACACAAACCAGAAGCCAATGCAGCACTGTGATTGTCGGTGTTTGCAGGTTCAACAACACAAGTTCAATAGACACTGACCCAGCAGTCCTAGACAGTGGCTTTGTGTTGTCTCCGTGATTTTCGGTGTTTACTTTTGGAAGGCATGCGCTTCAGGGTTTATTGCAGTTATTTGGGCTTAAGGGTCACGGGTTCAAATTCTAAGTTTGGAGGCCTCAGCAAGTTAGCAAGTTTTAAACGGTTGGTTTGCATATAAGGTGTCTATAAGCATTGGGGTATGCTACCAGACTCAAAAAGCCAGACCCCGATAACTTCCCTAAGCCCCTACATGGACGGTGCCCCCCCCCCCGGTTTTGGACACTCTAGGAGCCTGCTTGGAGGATCGGGTGATTTTGGTTGTCGTTGTTGTGTAGACTTATAAGCACTCTGACCCCAATTAGCCACCATTTTGGGGTACGTATACGTCTACATGTATTCCCGACTTACCAAGTCCCCGACCTTCCTAGTGGCTTCCCAGCGAAAACAATGTGGAGTTTAGGCCATGTTACATCCGGTAGTTGATGGTAGGGTTTGTATAGTTCGGGGTGCCGGGGCACTCAAGCTCTGTAGTGCTTAGTCACGGTCGAGAAGAGGTAGGCAGCTTTCTTGGAGCCAGGCGGTACTGCTGTAGCCATATGCTTGTACCGTGATATCTTGTTTAATCCATCTATTTTATATGATGTTGGCTTCTAACATATGGTATTACTATCTGCATCTCTGTCCTATTTTGTTGCATTATGATGTATCCCAAACCCGTCAACTGCGAGCTTCCCCGCTGCGGTGCAGGAAGATGAGGAAGCCCGTTTGTGGGAGTTCTTCGAGACGCTGTGCCCATCTCACAGTCTGAGCTGACGGGCCTTCTGCTTGGGTTTAGGCCCTATGGTGCTTCTCTTGAGTGTACTGAGGGAACGCAAGGAATAATGTTGAAACATACTTCCTGTTATTAACTGTCTAGGATTGAAGTTTCATCCGAATTTGAAAGACATGGTCTTAGAGCAATAATGGCACTGGGTGACAGGCCCACACGCTTTGCGGGTCTTGAGGCTCTAGGCGATGCCGGTAGGACACCAAGAAACCTCAGAAAGCTCCACAACGAGATGACTCGTCGACGGGTAGAGACGCGTCGAAGCTCTAAGCCCTCACACTCTGAACTCTAAGGGTTTCGTTTAGTATAGGGACCGAAAATAGCCTAGGAAGTTTTTG